CCCAAGGGACAAAGCCACCACTGGTCATCCCCTGGGATTTGCAATTGCTTGTCCTGCTATGCTCTGAAGAAGACTGAGAAGGGTGCCCTCTGGGGCTCCCCGACAAGCACGGAGGGTGGGGCAGCTGAGGATGAGCTGGCAGCTCACTCCCTGGCTCTTTGGCTCTGTGGGGCCTCTCCAAACACCAGGGTTTGTTCGCGACATTTTCTCTGACTCACCCTTGGTGATAAGACAGGCAAGAGCCCTTAAGCAGTCAGTCAGCATTCAAGAAGGTTTTTAGATTCTACACCATTGGGGATTTGATTTCAGAATTTGCAAAGTCCTTCATAAAACCATTGTAGCTCTAGAAGAACAGCAGTCATTCTGAGAGCCAAAACTGCAAGGACAATAATAATCAGAATGCAGAACCTACGAGACAGAGGGAAGCTTTATTCTTTGGCACCCCATTGTGCATTGGTTTTTTTTCATCCAAACAATATTTATTGAGTCTCTTATAAGTGCCAAGTCCAATGCTGGCACTGGAGAAATAATGGTGTGCAAATGCAGACCTGGGATCTGGTCCCTTCCTGAATGAAGTCTGTTGTGTGTGTGTGTGTGTGTGTGTGTGTGTGTGTGTGTGACGAGAGACCTAACTGAAAAATCAAAATCGACCTAAGTAGCCACAGCATCGAGTGCTATAAAGAAGAGATACATGGGACAATGAGCATGGATTATGGGGTCTGATCTGGTCAGGAAGGTCAGAGAAAGAGCTCTGAAAAACATACTGAGCTTGATTTGAGGGATGAAAAGGGAAAGAGGACACCATTTTTGGAAGCTGAAAACACCATGAACAAAGGCACTGTGGTGGGAGAAAGAATATAAAAAACTGAAAAGTAGGGCTGGAACACAACGGTCCTGACTCAGAGTGGTGCCTGAGGCACAGCGAGGCAACGTGGGGCACAGTGGGGCCAGGGCAGGGTAAGAATCACACAGTGTAGATAGGAAGGCAGCTGCCCGTATAGGGCTTCTGAGCCTCCTACGTTGTCTTTCAGAAAGAATGGGAAATTACTGAAAGGCAGGAAGAGGCTGCACAGTTATTAACTCTTAAGGTAATTTCTGTTCTATAAATCAAAAACTACAGGGTCAATTGGAAGCAGAAAGTGATGTCTTGCAACCAGCTCTGGGTTTGAATCCTGACTTCCTGACTCACTTCAGTCATGGCTGGGGGAAGCCAGACTCTCAGCGCTTCAGTTTCCTCATTCATACAATGGGGATAATAACACCTTCTCTGTTGTTTGTGAGGGTTAAGGAAATGAAAATAAATAAAGTCTTGGAAGTTTTAAAAGAAGAAACTTATTTTGATACTATATACAGTATGAAAGAGCCAACATTCGCAGGTCAGATGGACTTTCAGCTTTCCTTAGAGAAAACATCTTGAATTTCATCTGAACTTCAATTTCCTCCAGATCCATGGTTTGGAAATGTTTACTCATTCCTCTTCAAAACAACAAAAACACAACAGTAAAACAACTACTCATTCAACTGCTTATAGAAGGTATTGCTGTCAAGCCTTCTGATTTTGGGATTTATGAGATAATAGATCATGGAGAGATGAACAACCAGAGAACAAACAAGTGACAAGTGAGCACTGCAAAAATAGAAGCAAGCCACTGGCTTTGGGTGAGCACATTTGTTGGTAATGAGTAAGAGACTGTTGGGTGTCTTCTGTCTGGCCAGAGTGGGGCTAGGAAGCCAGCCTTCTGTTTTGATTGGTCCAGCATTTGACATCTCAATGCTCTCATCTCTTGAACAGCCCAGGGCCCTGCCAGAACAAAACTCCAGTTGACCTTAAGTCAGGGTCTTGTCGAAATGTGCAAGAGCCAACTTTGAGAGGTTCCCACTGGCCAAAGATGACACAATGTGAGCATCAGGATGTATAATACATCAAATATGTCTAAATCTTTCAATTTATAAAGGCTCTTAATAATTATGATCACTATTGGAAGGTGATATGAAACCAATATATTATCGTGGAAATTTGAGAAGGGAGTATTTGAGAACTGCTGATCCTATCTTTCTGACATGAACTATACCAAACAGTAAATGAAGGGAGGCTGTTTTCTTTATAGAAATAGTTCAACTAAAAAATGAAGTGTGAATGACAGAGTTAAATTATCATTATTTTATAATTCTTAGTGATTAAACCTATACATTAATCACTGATGGCTACTAACATCATAAAAAGATGCCCCCTTTTATGTGTCCCACTGATTGAAAAACACAATGAAATAGACCCTTCCTCAAACTGAACCACATACAAGTGAACAAGATCCAACTACTAATGTGGAATTAGAGAGGATAGAGAGGCATATTAGTGACATAGACAATAAGAAACCATAGAGGAAGAAAAGAATCCAACTTCTAAAATAAATGAATAGCAAGGAAGAAGAGAGGGAGAGGGAGAGAGAAGAGAGAGCAGGGAGGAAAGAGGGGAAAAGGAAGAAAGAGAGAGATGGAGAGACTGGGACAGGAGGAGGGGAGGGGTAAGGAGAGGGGAGAGAAGAGAGAGAGAGAGAGGGGTGGTGAAAGGGGAACTCACAGCAAAAGAGATTTTATGAGACATATTATCAAATTGTAATTGTGAGGTATAGATTCAATCAAAACGTAAAACTAAAAACTATTGATGTTATCACTAACTTCAAGAATGGTGGGAATTTGATGATTTTTAGGAAACATTCTTCATTTTTTAAGTGTGCTAATGGTACTGTGGCTTAAGGCTAAAAAAGAGAAGTGTTAAAGTGATACAAACTGAAATATTTGTAGATAGATGGTATAACAGCTACAATTTGCTTCAAAGAAATGAGGCCGATGAGGGATGAGTCAGGGTATTGATAAAGCAAGATTAGGCATGAGCTGACAATTGTTGAAGGTGCACCATGGGCTCACAGTAGTTTGCTATTTTCCAGAAAAGAAAAAGTTAAAAAATCTACTGCTCAGTCATTCTCTCTCTCTTTTTAACTTTTGTTTTGTTTGTTTTTTCTAAACCAGGGTTTGAACTCAAGTCTTCATGCTTGCAAAGCAGATGCTCTCTGCTTGAGCCACACCTCAAGTCTGTTTTGCTCTGATATTTTGGAGATGCAATCTTTGAACTGTTTGCCCAGGCTGGCCTAGAACTTCCACCCTCTCCATCTCAGCTAGGATTACAGATGTGAGCCACCATGCCTAGCTTGTCCCTCTCTTTTAACATTAAAAGTACCATTACTAGTAGTGAGACATCAATGGGAAATCTCTCTGGGCCAATTCATAATTCATCCAGTTGTTTCATGGGATATGTGGAGGTAGGCTTGGCAACTAGGATTCTCCTTTTGAATATTTCCAACTCCAGAGTAATTTTGCAACTCCAGCTCTCTGGGCCTCTCTGTACTCCTGTGAGAGATGGTTTCTCACATCCTACTGGCAGTTGATACTTTTTTTTTTTTTTTTTTCTTTTTTTGGTAGAAATGGGGTTTGAACTCAGGGCATCACCTGCTAGGCATGTGCTCTATTGCTTAAGCCATGCCTCCAGCACTTCTTATTCCAGTTATTTGGAGATAGGGTCTGGCTTTTCGCTCAAGCCATAGTGGACTGAGATTCTCTTATTTTATGCTTCCTGCAGTTGTGTCATCCTGCTAGGATGACAGAGCACAACACTGTGCCCAGATATCGGTTGAGATATTGGTTGTTCACTTTTTGCCTGGTTGGCCTAGAACCTTGAACCTCCCAATCTTAGTCTCCTGTGTAGTTTGGGATGACAGGCATGCACCACTGTGCCGAATCTCTTGAACTATTTGATGGGCTGGACTCAAAACATGATCCTCCCATGAGCCATGGGCCTCCAGCTTGGCACTTGACTCTTGCAGTTTGACTGGGTTGGAATTCCAGCTTCCCCACATGAATACTCACTTGAGTAAATTTACTTACTCCCCTGCACTTTGTCCTCTTAATCACGCTTATCTCAAAGGGCTGTTGTGAAGATCAGATGAGCTATTTCATGCATTCATTTCACACACACTTAGCAGTCACCCTCCAGCTATGAGAAGAGTATGTATGGGTGGGGCAGTGAAGAAAATACAGGGGCCAGGTTCTTTGGATCCTAAAGGGAGGGCCCAGACCACACAATATACACTAAATAAGATGCAGCATTTCAGATCGCTGGTACTATGAAGAAAATACAATACAGCAATTTGGCAGAGAGCTACTACCAGCATGGGGAGCTGCCACATTACGGAGGCTGATGTGGGATAGTCTCACTGAGGTGACAGCTGGGCCTTGCCTCCTGTGATTAACAGGAAGTCAGTCACCTGCCATGAATGGTCTGCCCTTCTGTGTGCAGCAGTGGTTTTCACGCCCTTTAGCTCTCTTGACATTTGGCAATATCTGCGGATTTTGTCTTCTCCACGACTACTGGGGAGAGAATTGTTCGAGCATCTGGTAGTAGAGGCCAGAAATGCTGCCCAGTACCCTACAGTGCACAGGACAGCCTCCACACTAAAAAATTAACTGGACCAAAATGTCAACAGTGCTGAGCTCAAGAAACCGTGACATAGTGAGAACAGCAAAGGCAGAGGAGTCAGAAAGGAGCTTGCTGTGTCTGGAGAACAAACACAAATCCAGTGTGGTTGAGTGAGTGCGGATGAAGTGGAAGAGGTAGACAGGGCTGGACGACAGAGCGCTTTTTAGAGTACAGTGAGGAATTTGGAATTATCCCCCAAATGGTGGGAAGCCCTTGTTGAGTTTTAAGTAGGGGAAAAAGATAACCCATGTGAAGCGCTTAGGTCACACAGGAGCTCAATAAATACTGTCAATTATTATCACTATTGTGTACCTCCCCACTCTACCCAGCTCTGATCCACGTCCCAGCGTGGCCGCAGTGACTCCTCCCGGCCAGCAGGGGGCGCGGGCCGACACTTGGCCACCGGCCGTCCGGGGTGGGCCTCCTCTTGCCGTCCCCGTTCCTCGTCTTCCCCCCACCCTCACAAGAAGTCGAGAAGGTGGTGGCGGCCGCGGCGGTTGTCCCACCGGGCCGGTTGGTGTGACCCGTCACCGCGCGCTCCGCAGCGTCCGTGCCGCGTCCAGCCCAGTCGAGCGGAGGGGCGCCGCAGCGGTCAGAGCCCCGCACGGGCGGCGCGCGCTGACGGAGGGCGGCGACCGCGGCCAGGGCGGCCCGTGGGACCGCGGGGCCCCGGCGCAGCGCCGCCCGGCTCCCGGCCCTGCCGGCCTCCTCCCACGGCGCTGCGGCCATGGCGGCCAGCGCGAAGCGGAAGCAAGAGGAGAAGCACCTGAAGATGCTGCGGGACATGACCGGCCTCCCGCACAACCGCAAGTGCTTCGACTGCGACCAGCGCGGCCCCACCTACGTGAACATGACGGTCGGCTCTTTCGTCTGTACCTCCTGCTCCGGCAGCCTGTGAGTGCGGGGCTGCGGGCGGGCCGTTCGCGGGCGTCGGGGCAGCGCGGCGGGCAGGGGCGCCGCCCGGGCCGGGGGATGGCGGTTGGGGGGCGCCGGCTCGGGGCTGGGCGGGGCGAGGGATGCGCTTTCGGTTTTCCTGCCGGGCCGGCGAGGGTCCAGCCTCTGGGCCGCCTGAGTGGGTGCCGCGTGGGCGGGGCTGGGGTCAGCGAGGGGGCGTCGGGGCCGAGCATCCCCGCTTCCCGCCGAGTCGCCTCCCTGCGTCCTGCGCTGCGGGGCGTCAGCCCGCTGGGGCTGGGGGGGGGGCCATGCGGGTCTTTTGTGTCCCCGCCTCTTGGCGGTTCCGAGCTCCGCACCTGCCCGGGTGGGGGTGGGGTGTGATGGGGTGGGGGGAGGGGGCAGGGACGCGGGGCTCAGGCTTCTTTTTTCCGGGTGACTGGGAGAGAGCTGGCACTTAGGGATAGGATTGCAGCGGCTTTGATGAGTGTGGACGGCGGAGGGAGATGTGAGCCCCAAGGGAAAAGGTCCCTAGGCTCTTTGCGGGAAGGGGAGGTCCAGAAGCAGATAGGGGGTTTATAGGGTCCAAGAGTCTTGAAGAGTTTGGGGAAAGTTTTAATGAAAATAAGGTGTCGGTGAGGAGTTGTGTGGTCCTAAAATACGGTGGCGGCGGCATCTGTGAGACTTTTGGGGATCCACACCCGAGTGTCCTGGCTGTACGCAGAGGTGGGGAGACAGAAGCGCTGTGTCAGAACCACGGAGATTGTCGTCTTTAATTCCTCAGAGGGTTTGTGTTTGTTCTTTGCCTCATCAAGGTTTATTTTGATGAGGTTTTTGTTGCTGTGAAATTTCATGTGGGAAGTTTGGAACTGCTGATGAGAACTACTAATTATCTTGGATTCCTCAGTAGATTATTAACGAAGTGGAAGTTACGGAGTAGTCTTACAAATCTTTGGAAGATTAAAATACATAATAAATCCGAAAAGCGGATTTCTTAAAGGACGGAAAATGCAGACGTGTCCAGTAGTGTGCCATTTGTTTTCTTTTGCTTCGGGCGAAGACGCGGTCTTAGTATTACATTTTTAAAAGTGCCTTCTGGATTTTATGTGACGCCTTAAGGTGTGCTGATACAGAGTTCTTACTCTTTTTAGCACTTGCATTCTAATGGGGGAGGTGGTGAGGCATAAGTAAATAAATAAGAAAAGTGTCGTGGTAAGTACTGTGCTGAACGTTAAAGTAGTGTGATAGGAGAGTCCCCGAGGTTATTTTCACGTTGTGTAGTCAGGGAAACAGAGAAGTTGCCAGAGCTGGGTGGTATCTAGGAGATAGTCTGCTTCATGCTTTCCATTTGTAAATGAAGGAAAGCTGGGAATCAGTGACTTAATGTCGGGCAGGTTTGGTTCTAAAAGTAATCTAATAGTCAAATTTATTTAAAGCATATTTGACTTTTAATACAAGCTCAAGAAGTATGTCCTGCTTTTACTAAATGCGAGGTCTTTTGATGCCTTTAAAGTATTTGGTTTGATAAAATGTATGTATGTGTATATACAAGCATCACACACATATTTACTGTTCTAAGTTTGTGACATTTCTGTGTTGCCCTCTATAAGTAGAGAAAGTATTTCCCTTGCAGGAAATTCGTAGTAGAAAGGAAATACTCCATATTTCATCCTAAATCCCATGCTTTAAGAACATTCTATATAAAGGATATCTCAGAATAGTATTTTTTTATTTTAATGGGATTTAGTCTGTAATAACTAGGACTTTATTTTTCTATTCATTAGTCCACATACATTTATTGTTCATTTGGTCTTGTGTCATGCGCTGGGGGGCATGGCAGTTACCTGGATCCTACTATGCTTATGAAGTTTGCATCTACCTGTACACAATAGTTACAACACATTGTCAGATTTCCTTTTTATGAGTGTGCTATCCATGAAATATATAAGGCTTCACAGAGGAGTTGATGCCTGTGTAAGACCTTCAAAGCCAAGTTCCACATCACAGGCAGCTTCATGTAGTTGAAAGACCACCTACTTTTAAGCTAGGGAACCTGATTTTGAATTTTGGCTACAAGTACTAGCTATGTGACATTGAGGATGCCACTCAGTACTTTGAATTTTCTCATATGGGAAATCCTGAGAATAAACTTTGCTTGTGCATTTGGTTGTAGATTTGTTTTCGGTATAATCACACCATGCCTGATACATAATAGGTGCCCAGTAGATGAGAAATGTTATTGGGGGGGCATTCCATGAGTAAGGGAACCATAAGTGAAAACACTGGAATGAGAAACACCCTAATGAAATCTGTCAGCTTGGAGTTTTTGGCTATTACCTGAAATCTGACTCAAATTGGTTTAAAAAAAATGAAGGGAATTTATTGAGTAACTTAAAGTGAGACTATTTTCCTCATCCAAAGACAATTACCCCAGTTCCTGGGGCCACATACTGCCTTAATTATATCATTGGTCCAATATTTTCAGAAGTTCTACACTTTGATTAGCTAGTGATGTGGCTACCTTGAACTGCTGTCCTTACCTGGACACGTGTGCTAATGTGACTATTGGTACAAAGATCCCCAGATAGAGCTGCCAGATGAGAAATCTCAAGGTTTTTGGGAAGGGAGCAGTGGATTCTGAAAGTGCAACCTTAGAATGTCTGCTGCAGAATATTGAAGAGGCAGTAGCTCTTGAGGATTTTTATCTTTGAAAACAATTAATGTCAGAAAATAATGGAGGATAAAATTACCCTTGAGTTTAATAATAATGGTTATGTATTTGCTATGTAGATGCCTTGGTATAGTTGAAGACATAATCTTAAAGTCAGATTTTGACACTGCCACTGGTTTCATGGCTTAGGGCATGGTAGTAAGTGAGACCACCATGTGCTGATTGGTTTGGATCCATCTCCTTGGCTTCAGTTTTTATATTTATGATAATATGTATGTCAGTGTTGTTAAGAGGAATGAATGACACATGTGCTATATTTATTGAACACATATTTGAGAACATAGCTAAGAGATGGAGGTACAAATATTAAATAAAGCATTTAACGGCTGTTCCTTATTTACCTAGAAAACATTGGTATACAATCAGTGGTATCTATTATTATGAATTCTTAATTTTAGGGTAGTCACATACCTTTTGTCATTAGTTTAGCAAAATTTTGTTTAAATAAATTAAATCAGCACCTTATTGCTAGTACTGATTGTCCTGTATGCTTAAGTCATGCTCAGAGTATATAACTGGATTCAGATTGTGAAACTTTGAAATAGACTTTAGATTTAGATACAGTTAAATTACTTGTTCTTACTGGTTTGTTGTCTTTTGTGTTCTATTTGTAGAATAGTTAAAATTGATGTGCAGGTGCTTGAATCATTTAAATTATAGCAACCAAAAACTGCTGTCATTGGACTAGGAATGGAGCTCAGTGGTACAGTGCTTGCCTCGTATGCAGGAGGCCTTGGGTTCATTCCCCAGCATTGAAAAAATAAATGCTTTATTGATTAAAAACTTGTAGTTAACGACTGATTTGATGAAGCTAATTGTTTTGTGGAGACTATAAACATTAGTGTAATTGGTAAGTAATATAAGATTGCCTCATTTAAAAAATAATTCATACAAGTAAAATAAAAAATAACCTTTGAGAAAAAGTTTTGAGCTTTTTTTGAGACAGCATCTCACGATGTAGACTAGGCTAGCCTTGAATTTGTTATCCTCTTCGCTCAGCCTCTCAAATGCTGGGATTACATGTGTGCACCAGAATACCTGGCCAGTTTGCCATTCTTAAGGCCAGCTGTTTTTTTTTTTTTTTTTGGTGACCAGTACATTTAAACTTGCAATTTCATAGGTGGAAAGTGGAAATTGTAGCCAGTTAGCAATTTATTCTCTATTAATTTTGGGGGAGGCATTTTGACTCTTTAATTGTGAAACTTTACTTGAAAAATCCTAATTGTTTTTTTCTTTTGGTGGTACTGGGGTTTGAACTGAGGGCTTTGCATTTGCTAGGCAGGTACTCTACCACTCAAGTCACGCACTCACTCAGCCGTTTTTACTTTGATTATTTTTGAGTTAGGGTCTCATATTTTTGAAGAGGAAGGTTCTGTTTTCTGCCCACAACTTTAAATTATAAAATTAGCACATCCTCTCAGTGCTTTGCCTGACAACCTGTTTGATGTTGGGACCCAGAACTAAGGTTGGATTCCACTATTAAAGAATATATACTTTCTGTGGACTACTGTAAATTGTTGTGGATTCTTTATTTTGGAGATCGAGATGGCAGGACAGGTAGTTTATGAATATGTCATACATTTTGTTTCATAGTTGTCATATTTTTTATTAAGGATCTTCTTAGCTCCCAGATGTGTGCTTGTGTCTGAATTTTGTTTAGATTGCTGCTGTGCATTCCAGATGCAGAAGTAATATGGTACTGGCTATTCCAGTAGCACTTCTTTTGCATTTGGCATATTCACACTACCATGTGCATGAACTCTGTCCTCCCATTTGTGCTTTAAGCAGTAATTGGAATGGCAGGCGTGCACCACCATACCCATCTTTTTCTGTTTTGATTGGGTCTTGTGGATCTTTGTGCCAAGGCTGGCCTTGATTCTCAAGAACCACATGTTTGGGATTATAGGCACATGCCATCACACCCAGCTATTTTGGTTGAGATGGGGTTCTTGCAAACTATTTGCCAGTGCTGGCCTTGAATCATAACCCTTCCTCTATCTGCCTGCTGAGTAGCTAGGATTGCTACTCAGTAGCCTGGATTTACCAGGCCAATCAACTTTTGATCAGTGTAAAACACAAGGGAGAGTGGCCTTGTAGCTGAGAATGTTCAATGTATAGCTGTAGGTTTTTCAGAGGGAAGGAGAAACATGGATTCATTCTGCAGAAGATCTTCTGTACTGGAAAGACGCTTCGCTGTTCAGCGTGTGGTGACATCATTTGACTTCATTTTTTGATTTTTTGTTTTTTTAACACAAGGTAGTTGTGAACACTT